AACTGAAATACGAAGCCAAAAGAACCTCTCCCTTCTTGTGCATCTTTATACTTTTTAAGTTCCATTTTCAATTCTTCTAAAAGTGGAGCCATTTTAAAAAGTTTTAAACAACCACCCGATTGATTTTAGTCGTTCAAAACAATAACCAAGAATCCAGAAATCATCAAGTAATCCAGATAGTCCCGAGTTATATCTTCTTATTTCTTTTTCGACTTTCTCTTCCTGCGGTTTTTGTTGCGATATTTCAGTTAGAATGTATCTTTTGGAAGTCTTGTTGAGATTTTGCTGTAAGTTCTTTTTTAATTCCAGGCAGTCTCCTCCCTTCCAGATCCTGCCCTTTTATTCTTCCTCTCTCCTTTCCTGTTTTCAAAAGCTTTTAATTATCCAGAAATCTTTATTATCCCTTTGACTTTTTATTTTCAGCATTAAATGCCTATTGATGTCAAAGTGGATTTTTTCCCAATTTCTTGCTTAAGTCTCTTAGCTGTCAGTATAGGAAAAGGAAAAAACCAAATCTTTTCCCTTTTCTCTCTCCTTCGCAGCTTAAAAATCTTCTTAGGGAACAATGTTATTGTTTTTTAACAGTTTCAATTCCAGGGTACCTTATTTGTTGCTTTTGCTGTTTGACCTGGTCAACCAAAACTTTCTCTTCTTATCTTCCTCCTGCACATTCTTTTCTGGTCGAGTTCTTCTTTGTGGTGGCCATTTCTGACCACTGCTGCAACCGCCTTTGGGAAAGGGAGTAATGGCCAGCTGGGGAGGAGAGATCCTCAACCCTGCTGGCAGTCTCCCCCCTCTTCACCACCTCTACAGGGTGGCCTAGCCCCGAAACCAGCCAGCTCGGGGCGCTCCAGCGGCGAGCACGGATTGAAGCCTCACAGAGACGAGGTTTCGGTCTGTTGCTGAAGAAGCTCAAACCGGAAGTCCCTAAGTCACTTTTTTTTTTCAATGCCATCATAACTTCACTACATGAATGGCTGTAAATCAAGGACTACCTGTGTCCTCCTGGAAGTGGCAACAGCATGGCCGTTGCACTCCGGTGAGAAACAGTGAGAGTTTAATCTGACTGCCGGGGAAGGTGGCACTGTACTCTTCCTATGGCCCAAGGCTGATGCTAGGCTTACAAGGCAGAGGAGGCTGATGGTCATGTAGATATTTGTTGTGATTGAGACTCTCTCATTTATAGGCCTTGAAATCAGGGGTGGGATTCTACTGGTTGAGTCCAGCTCTATAGAACCGGTAGCTCCGAAGAGCAGCTGACACCAAACCGGTTTGCTGCAACAATATCCTGGTCTTCTGGCCAAGGGCGAACTTCCGGTTTGTCGGCTTCGGTAGCCGCAGGGATTTGCGATACTGCGCGATCCCTGCGGCGCTAGCCGTTTTGGTGCCTCCGATCCGGACAGGTTTGGAGGCTAAGGCTGCCCTGCAGGGGCAGCCGAAGATAGGGGGATCTGGAGAGGGGTTTGGGGGTGTTGCAGACCCCCTCCCCGGCCGGCAAAACCCCCTTCTCTCAAGACGGTGGAGCGGCGGTCTGTAATGGCCGCCACAAAGAAGCCGGCAGCTGGGTAAGATTGTGCAGGAGGAAGAAGAGAAAGTTTTTGAAGAGAAAGTTTTTCTTGGCTGACCCAGGACTTTAAGATACATTTAACATCCTGAAAACTATGGCTTTTTGAATGATACTTTATTTTCAGAAGAGAATTACAAGCGGCAAATTTGAGGTGCTGAAAAGGAAAGTTTTACTCTCCTTCCCTATGGAATCAACAAATGGATATTGAGAAACCTGTCTTTTTATAGAAGGTAAAAAATTTGGCTTTTTGTGATAAGTGGGAAGGGAGAGGACAAAAAAATATATATCAAGATCTTGTTGGAGGAGATGCCTTAAGGATTTGAAGACTGAAATTTATTGCAATAAGACTTTAAAATACAGATTGGGCTTTTCTTTTTTTTTAATTAATATTACCCCAGGAAGAGAAAGTGAGAACTTTGTTTTGGCTTGGACTGATTGATGACTTTGGGACTTTGGGACTGTTCTAACTTTTGAAATATCTTGGTTGTTTTAAGAAGAAAAGGAAAAAAAAAAGAAAAGATTGTTGATGAACTGAGAAAAGAATATGGAAAAATAAAAAAAGAAGGCAAGGACGCTGTGAAAGAAGCCTTTCTCTTTTTAGAAATGGCGCTTGCTATTTATCAACAAACACAACAACAGATGGAGGTAGCAGAAGAAGAAGAAGAAGATGCCATCTTTAATGAATCCCAAAACTTAATTAAGAAAGAAAGGAGAAAGAGAGGAAGGAAAATGAAGGACTTAAGACTCAAAAAAAAAAACACCCAAGAAAGAGAAAAATAAGATGCAAAATCAATACAATGTTAGAAAGCAAAAGAAAAAAGGAATACAACAGAGAAAGGAAGCTAACAAGGCAGAGGTTAGGAGGGGAGGGGAGGTAAGAAGGCCAGGTGGGATAAGAAAGGAAGGGAAAAGGGGGAAAAAGCCACAAAGGTTTGATAAAAGATGGGGAAAAAGGAATTTTTTTTAGGGACAAAGGGTAATGTATAATTTTTTTAAAAGGGACTCTGCAAGGTACATAAGATGGTACTGTAGCATTTGTATTAGAAATAGAAAACTAGAATGTTATAAGAATTAATAAGAGATTAAAATATTGAAGTGTTTAGTAATGATAGATTTTAAAATTTAATAAAATATTAAAGGGAATGCTTAGAATATTGAGTTTAATTAAAGAGTTTAATTGACTATGGTGTTGATGTTATTATAAATTTATTATTGTAACATTTGTTTTTGAAAAAGATAATTGGAATGTTACAAGATTCAATATTTAGATTTATTATTTAATTATGTATTTAATCATTTTGGATTTATTATTTTTCTTTTTAAAAGTTAGTAGATAGAATGTACTAAGCAGAATAAGATTGGGTATTAGATGTTATTTTAAATGTTAATTTAGGGGGATGATAGAAAGGCATCATACTCTGATTAGTGATTTCAGGAGAAATCCTCTTTTTTTTTTTTACTATAGGGAATGAGACAAATGGATAATTTGGAAAGAATGGACAAAAGATACAAATATAATGACTTAAATTAAAGGGAATTAAATAAAATAGAATTAAGAAGAGTGAAATGTGGGGAGAAGCTATATAGAAGATATAGAATGGTAAATAAAATAGGTAATGGCATATAAGATGAGCATGAACTTAATTGAAGTCCATAAAGAGAGAGGTATCTGGGGCCAAGTTACTTTCTTAAAAGACGTTTTATATTTTTGTGTTTTGTGTGTTTATGTATGTGGGAGAATTAATAAAACCTTGGAGGAATGTAGGATGAGAATAACGGTAACCAAGTCAGAGAGAAATAGATGATAATTACAAATTGGATAAATATAGAGAAAAATAATAATAATAATGAAATTGAATAAGAGTAAAGAGAATTAAGGAGAAATTTGATAAGAGATATTTGTATGTTCATATGGAAATGGTGTAAAACAGAATTATGTGGTATAAAATAATGTTTTATTCAACTTGTAAAATTTATAATGGAAAGAGGTTTATGTATTTAATGGTTAATGATGGTTTGTTTGTCTTTAAAATTAATAAAATTTGTTTAAAAAATATATATATCCTGGTCTTCTGTTTGGCCCACCCGGGCTCTAGGCTGTGCTTTCCCCCCCCCTGCTTTTTCCTCCTCAGCTGCTTTGTCCGGCACAGCTGAGTGCCGCTCATTAGCAGGAGAAGGTGAATGCTTCTCGGAGCTGGTAATTTGTTAAACAGTGCGCATGCACGCGCAGCTCACCGAACCGGTTGTTATGCCGGTAGGATCCCACCCCTGCTTGAAATCATAAAAGGACAAGAACGGATGATACACTTACTTTATTGTCATTGAAAGGTCCCTAAACCCAGTAGACAGAAATAAAGTCACTACTCCCACCACCACCAGCCCTGCTTTTGGGTACAATTCATCCAGTGAATGATCGCTTCTAATTAGGAGGAAAGGAGGAGCTTGATCAACAGCTTGGCCTTCCTTGCGACATTGGCAGCACCTGGACGAACAGAAAGGATCAGATGACCGAGAGCACAACCAACACAGTGGAGCCAGTGGTGGGCTCCTGCCGGTTCAGAACGGGTCAGGCGAACCAGTAGTTCCGATGATTTCCTGCTTTCTAGCTCATCTCAATCGTGTAGCACAACGGATTCCCCTCCCCTTGCTGTTCTACTTACATTGCTGACTTGGAAGGTGAGCAGCTGAGCTTCTAAATGCTCCATTTTCAGTGCTGTGTGCAAGTGCCTTAGGCACACTCATGTGCAAAACAAGCCGGTTGTTACACTGGTTGCAGCCCACCACTGAGTGGAGCAAATTCGGTCCATGTCTAGCTCGTGATTCCAAAGAGCTGAAGGCCCTTTTCCATGAGCTCACAATTCCCCAGCTAAAAAGGTTCTTCTTGCATTTTGAAACATTTTCGTGGCAAGAAGGCATGGGCAACTCAGCCCATGGGTATCCCCTGCTTCTGCAAAACCCCAGAATACCCACCCCAGATACCAAAGGAATGTGGTGGCTGGCTTGCCATTAAAATGTGAGTTCATTAAGTTTCAGTGCTAGGCGAGTGTTAACGTTCAGTGGGACTTTAGCAAGAAAGAACAATGGAGAAGGGTAGCCTATAGGTTTCTTCACATTTCTATCTAATTTTTGCCTGGTTTAGGGGGCAGTGTCGTATGCCAGTGATTAACCAAGATGGCTCATGCCTTGAAAATTGTTGCTACCCTGGAAATTGGAGATTGCAATTCAATCTTAACCTTCAGTAAGAAAAGACAGAAGTTCCTTGGACATGAATGTTTGGGAACTGATATTGTATTAGAAAACTTACCAGTAGTGCTTACTCTTGGCCATCCTGTTGCATTGGTTCATCCTAGAAAAATAGAGGCGTTAGTCCATCCTGATATTTATCTATGATCAGACAAACCTGACTTTCAATAACTGCATAGTAGCAGTTCAGTCATCCTTGCTAGACAAGCTGAGAATTATAATGCCCGCAAGGGAGGGGAATACAATAAATTGCATCTGCAGCTTGCTGCCCAACTGGGTTTGCTCAAATATACCTAACCAGGTTAATTAAAGACCAAGTTGCTGCATTTACAGCATAAGCTACATTTGGGAGTTTGTTTTAAACATTGGTTCTGGGTTGTTTGTGGCACAGCAGAGGATCAAAGCTAGAAGATATGGGAATGATAGATAGATGGGTCTTTTTTGGATTTAACCCCTTTTCTTACCTGGACATCTTTTCCTTTTCCTTGTCCTTTTCCTTTTCCTTTCCCTTTCCCTCTTCCGTTTCCTTTTCCTTTTCCTTTTCCTTTTCCTTTTCCTTTCCCCTTTCCTTTTCCTTTTCCTTTTCCTCTTCCTGCTTCCTGCTCATTTTCACCTTCACCTTGATTCATTTGTTCAGGCTAAAAAACAAACAGGCAAGAGTATCCATTTGCAAGGAGAGTTGGACTTGTCTGAAATGAAAAGGTAATCATCTTTTTCCTCAGGCAAAAAGCCAAATCTAGCCTTGCAAGCATACATCGAGGATTGCATTCGAAAGAGAAATGAGTAGTTGGGGCCAAGGCAACAAAGCAGAACCACTTTTTACATTTGTAGGTCATTAAAAATAAATAGAATCAATATCATTGCTCTCTAATCAGGGGGTTTGATGACTTTCCCCTCAATAGTAAAACTTACCAAATAAAGCAAGTCAATTTGGAAAGCTCTGGGAACTATCTCCAAGATTCTTCAGGGGTGGCATTGGGATCCAATTATGCCCTTCTGTTTTATAGTCTTGTGAACCTTCTCCAACTTAATGTCTATGGAGATTCTCAATCATCAAGGTCACGGTTGTGCCAAAGGTGCTTTTTCAAAAGGCATCTAAACTTTATTGCATCTTTTCCCCTCTCAAAAACATTTCACCTCTCATCCAAGAACTGAAGAACCAGGAAAGTCCTGTTTCCTTTTGAAAAAGCACTTCTGGGACTTATCCAACATATCATTTTTCAGTTGTGATAAACTACAAGTCCCATCAACTTTCACAGTGAACTCAGCTCATCAACACACTGGTAGATAAGCAGACTGGGAGGGGCTAGTTTTCACTATCTAATAATGACTCTATAAATAAGCCTCACCAGGTGGAGTTTTGGAGACTTGTATTCCTAGTACAGTTGGAAGGCATCAAGTAGGAGAAGGATGGCCGAATGGGTAAGAACCTCAGAGTTGTGCCATCTTTCTCCTCTGTTCTGGCTGAGAAGTTTGTCTCATTTTACCCAATGACAGGGCTAAACCAGAGGTGGTATTTAGCAAGTTCTGACCAGTTCTGGAGAACCGGTAGTGAAAATTTTGAGTAGTTTGGAGAGCCGGCAAATATCACCTCTGACTGGCCCTGCCCCCATCTATTCTCTGCCTCCCATTGAGTCCCAGCTGATCGGCTGGGTCTTCTTTGGTTGCCCAGCACAGGAGAACGGAGCTGGAAAGCAGGTTAGTGGGGTGGGGAGGGAATGGGGATTTTTACAGTATCCTTCCCCTGCCACACCCAACAAACCATGACACACCCAACAAGCCATGCCCACAGAACTGGTAGTAAAAATATTTGAATCCCACCACTGGGCTAAACATGTTTATCATTTGCCAATGTAACATCCTTCAGCATACTTACAGCATCTCTTTTCACCAAAAGTACATGTTTCTAAATAAAAATAACAATAAAAGAACAGTTAATAAATTCTGGTTTTTTTCTAGTAATCCTAGAAACAGAAGTTTCTGGGAGTTCATCAGGTTTTTTTTAAGGCCTTGTGGGAAAATTGCCTTCTTTTCCCCTACTGTTTTGGTACAAAGGAAATTGGTTTCTTTGTCCAAGTTCCTTCAAAGGAAAAGAGATTTCTGGAGAAATTCTCATGAATTGAGTAAGGTCTTGAATTTCCTGTAGATCAAGGCAACCTTAAGACTTGTGGACTTTAACTCCCAGAATTCCTCAGCCAGCTGTGCTGAGCAATTCTGGAAGTTGAAGTCCACAAGTCCTAAAGTTGCCAAGTTTGGAGAGTCCTGCTTTAGATGAATGGTGTTCTGACCCGGGCTTTGTCAAACGTAATAAAACACAAACTGAATTTAAAAGTAAAACCTATTTTAATGTGACGTTGGGAATTACTTGCATTTCCAACCAAAACTCATCACACGCAGTTCCTCCAGATAAAAGCACGCTTTTCAGTGCTGTAGAATGCTGCCAAAAAACCCGGAAGTCCAATTAAGGCTAACGTAAGCCAACCCAAAAACCCAGAGAAAAGCTGACCAGAGTACAGAGCTTCATGAAGAAATGAAGAAATGACTGAACTGCTTTGCTTCCTGCAAAGCTTCTTGTCATTGAGGACTGATTTTTATCCCTTATGGGAGGCACAATCACCTCCCAGCCTTACTCCTGAATCGCCCCTTTTGTTTCAGCTGCTTTCGCCTTCTAGCACCTCTACACACACACAGGCACTGGGAACAGGCTCTCCTGGGTCCTCTGTGTTCCATATTAGCAGGCTTGAAACCCTGCATTCCTATTGGTCCACAAAGACTGCTACGTGATTGGACAGTCAGGACGGCTGTGATTGGTTTGCTAGGAGTCTACCGTGATTGGATGAAACCAATCACGGGAAACTCAAAGCGATGTCATTGGCCGCCTAGCCGCGGCTAGCTCTATAAGAAGAGCCGCCGCGAGTGCTGTTTTTTACTCAGAACTAGCCTGTTAAATAAAGAGCTGTTGTTCACTTAATCTGAGTCTCTCGTCTCTATGAGTCCGACCTGCCGAACTTAACACTCTGCCTCACTGCTGCCAGACTCCGAAGGCTCTGAAGACAGCACCCCACTCTCAGATGGCCCTGGCCCCATCCCTGCATTGGATGCAGGACCCTTGTCCAAGTCCTCGCCAGACTCCCTGACTGGTCCCCTTTCTTCCTCACTGTCTGATACCTCTGTCATCTGCACCGGCTGCCGGCGAACCACAATAAATGGTGATGAAGTGATGGTTGTTAACCTCCTGCCTTTTATTATACAACCATCCTTGTGGGGGGCCTCCCTGACTTCTCATTATATTGCAGACTTTTTCAGTTGTTTTTCTAGACTAGGAAGGAAGGAGCAGCAGGAAGGCATTGATAAAGTGTTGCAGAAGGCAATAAAAACTTTGACCAGTCATCCTGAGCTTCCCACCATGCTTTGTTCCATCCTAAGTATTGAGGGGAGTGGATGGGTTGCCTTGCAGAATAGACCAAAGGATAAATACTAGTCTTGTAGCGTCTGTCTGCAAGTTGTAGGCCCAGAAACCACCTTAGAGTAAAACGCCTTGGTTTGTGCTCAATTATACAACTTAAAGAGATATTAGTGTAACATTTTTGACACTTACCAGAAGGTTATTTGATCCTGGCACAGGTTTTAAACGAGAAGCAGCAACCTCCTGGAGTTCCTGTTAAAAAGGGGAAGTGGGAATCAAGTACAAGTGAGAAACTACTACAAGTCCCAGCAGCCTCCATAGTGAACTCAGCCCATCCAATATATTTGGAGGAGAATGATTTATCTTATTGGTATCATTATTATGATTCTTATTACTCTGTTGCTTTGCGTGTACATTGAGAGCTTCTGGACTGGAAACAAATTCCATGTGTGTCTAATCACACTTGGCCAAATAAAATATTATTCTATTCTGTTCTGTTCTGTTCTGTTCTGTTCTGTTCTAAATTCTATTCTATTCTATTCTATTCTATTCTATTCTATTCTATTCTAT